AACAGAGAGTGGTTTTGAATGGGAAGGTATCCGACTGGGTCCCGGCTGTGTCCGGAACCCCAGAGGGCGGCCATATTTCTCCGCTTCTGTTTTCTCTTTTTATTAACGACCTGCCCACTGTGATATCTACAAATTGTTTGCTTTTTGCTGACGACCTCAAACTTTTCAACGAGATCAGGTCAGCAGCTGATGTGCTAGCACTTCAGAGGGACTTAGATGCAGTAGCACGATGGGCGGCTGACTGGAAACTGGTACTTAATGCTTCAAAATGTAAATCTTTCAAAATCACGTTGAAACGAAACTTTATTAACTCTTCCTACAAAATCAACGGAATTACCTTAGAAAACGTCACATCCATTCGGGATTTAGGAGTTATTCTTGACCAAAAGCTGGACTTTGCTGAACATGTGGGTTCAATTGTCTCGAAAGCCAATAGGGCTTTAGGACTTATCATTCGCACTTTCCAGTCAGCCTCCCCCCGGTGCAAGATAGACAAGCAGGCGGCTCTGGCGGCTTACAATGCAAACGTCCGATCGATTCTTGAATACTGTTCAATCATATGGGGCGGTGCAGCCAGATGCCATCTAGTTCGTGTGGAGAGAGTGCAACATAAGTTTTTAATGTGGCTTGCGCGTCGTACGGGCTATGTCGGAGCCTCTCTGGCCTACTGTGATCTACTGGCATCGTACGGTGTGCTCCACTTGGGTGCTCGGCGAGCACAGCATGATGTCATGTTTTTATCCAAAGTGTTTAAAGGTTTCATCTCTTCGTCGTTTTTATTACAGTGTTTTGGGTTACAGGTACCGATCAGACAAGCCAGAACCATGAACAGAGCATTGTTTAGTCTGCCGTTTGCTCGAGTGAACACTGTATCATCCGGCTTGTTCTCGCGCATCCCACGCACTGTCAACCACTTTCTAGGGTCTGTTGAAACAGCAGACTTATTTTTCGATTCACTTGGTCAGTTGAAGAGGCAGAGCGTGCTGTATGTGTCAACCCTTCCTCCTGTCGTGTAAAAATTAGCTTGTGATGTTTTAAGCTTTTTATCTTGTGCACATCATACATCACTAATGCTTTATTTTTAGGTAGGTAGATATTCAGTACTTTCAGTATCTTATACAGTGTTTTAATGTTTATGTATATCGTATGTAGTTCTATAGTAGGTACTATTTATCTGTTATGCCCTCGTAGTCATTTACACTCTGCCTTTATAGTCTTTTTTTACACTATAGGTACTTTTACTTTTACTTCTATAGTCTTCTGTACTTAGAACAGATCATTATTTTTACAGTGTGTTTGGTGTGATATACTTATATGACTTCACCTGTCATTGGGTCAAGCCTGTTGGTGATTTGCGCAAATACAGAAATACAGAAATACAGAAATACCTTAGCGACCCGTAAAACACGAATAAGAGCTATAGTGACACAGAAAGCGTACTCGATAGCTTTTTTAAAGCTCTTTCGCCAGCTTCGCCTCAGATAGGTATGACTTCGGGTCTATGGCTTGTGTACCACAGAGGCCAAACAGTTAAACGGACGGATTTTGCCGAAACATTTGTTCTGTAACAACCTATATGATTCAGTGAATGTGTATGATATTCATGTTAGGTATCACCATCGTGTTTGTTTCGTCGAAACACGTCGCATGGCTTACAATTTGAACTTAAGAACTTAACTAGAAAACTTGACATCAAGTAAAGGTTAATCAATGGTCATGTCCTGACCGGAAAAGAACCCGCTGCAAAAATGTGCGATCGATCTGTGTTGCTGAGCTGAACACACTTGACACTCCAGCACTGAACATTAAACACACACTGAACACACTCCAGGTGCTGTCATTGCTCTACAGCGTCTCCATCAAAAGTTGTTGTCGAAAATGTGTTAGAGACCTTTGATGACCTAACTAATAGTAATGACTGACCATTCGAGTCACCACTGGTCATTAGCTGCGCCTTGTCTCTAAAATGAGCAGAGGTGCCATGGCTACAAAAGTATCTTATAGCGTTTTTAGCATATTCGTTCAAAGCAGAGGGCATCTCGTGCATTTTCCCATATCTTATCATGATTGATTGGTGAGGTCACATACTTCACTTTTCAGATGTAAAATCCCAGATTCATGAACTGTTGGCACTTATAATCCCATTCATTACAACAAATTTCAGACTTATAGGATATAATCTTTTTTTATAAATTTAGCTCGAATGTTTGAATGGACGGATTGACAGAGCCGGAGCCCACGCTAAGCAGAGCTTGTTGCGTAGACCCCGACCCCTACCGTCCGATCGCGCAATTCCGGGTATCGGGAGAATTTAGATGCCAAAGTTTAACGTGCCCTTCAAAGCCGGACACGGCCTGCCCCACTCAACTGACTTCAACTTGCTGCGGCTGCTCCCACCAACCGCAGACCGTCCCCGTCAGGAGTCTCAAATCGAGCGCCGGGGCGTCTCGAACCCGGGCTCTCACTACCGGGAGTCCAATGCTCTACCAACTGAGCTACGGGACAGGCAAATCTATAGGAATGGCAAGATTGCAGCTTTTAGAGGCATTAAAGGGACACTCCCACCTTAACATTAGTTTTGAGTTGAGATAGCCAAATTGGTGGCCATGGCCTGCAAATACCGGTTTGGGCACTCACAACATCGAAAAATGCTTTAATTCGAAGATATGGAATTTCAAACTTGCAGTTTTCGGATTCTAAGGGGCTAATGCATTGGAATGCCCCCTTAGAATTTGTGACGTCAGCGGAGATCTAACGATTTTTAAATCTTAGACTAAAACCATCGTTAAAGGGACCCTCCCACCTTCAAAAAAGTTAATGAATTGGCATGAAAGTGATGTCGCTCGGTTCAGAAAGAGCAAAAATGAATATCTACCAAATTTCATCGAAAAATATTCACCGGTTTTCAAGATATTAGACTTTTACTTTTGTTTACTTTTTGGGATCTCCGCTGTTCCTAGCGACTTTATTTGAAAGTGCGGCATTTGTTGCGCGCAAAGCAGCATATTCCACCGCGTGCTGCCAAACGTTTTAGTAAAAGATTTAAAAATCGTTAGATCTCCGCTGACGTCACAAATTCTAAGGGGGCATACCAATGCATTAGCCCCTTAGAATCCGAAAACTGCAAGTTTGAAATTCCATATCTCCGAATTAAAGCATTTTTCGATGTTGTGAATGCCCAAACCGGTATTTTCAGGCCATGGCCACCAATTTGGCTATCTCAACTCAAAACTAATGTTAAGGTGGGAGGGTCCCTTTAAAGGGACCCTCCCACCTTAACATTAGTTTTGAGTTGAGATAGCCAAGTTTGCGGCCAGGCTCAGAAACCACCATTTATCCTGGTCGCAACCCCCGCAGCTTTATGGTGCTCAAGAAATTTCTTCCCTTTACTTGCAGGGTGGGACCAGCGTGGTCCCTATCTCTTAACCATTACGGGAATCTGATGACGTCATCAGGCTTTCGAACGTCCGTTAAATGTTTGACTAAAACGTTTTGTAGCACGCGGTGGTATATGCTGCTTTGCGCGCAACAAATGCCGCACTTTCAAATAAAGTCGCTAGGAACAGCGGAGATCCCAAAAAGTAAACAAAAGTAAAAGTCTAATATCTTGAAAACCGGTGAATATTTTTCGATGAAATTTGGTAGATATTCGTTTTTGCTCTTTCTGAACCGAGCGACATCACTTTCATGCCAATTCATTAACTTTTTTGAAGGTGGGAGGGTCCCTTTAACACGTGGTGGTATACGCTGCTTTGCGCGCAACGTCTGCCGCACTTTAAGGCTGCCAAATTATTGCTTCCAAATAAAGTCGCTAGTAACAGGGGAGATCCCAAAAAGTAAACAAAAGTAAAAGCCTAATATCTTGAAAACCAGTGAATATTTTTCGGTGAAATTTGGTAGATATTCGTTTTCGCTCTTTCTGAACCAAGGGACATCACTTTCATGCCAATTCATTAACTTTTTTGAAGGTGGGAGGGTCCCTTTAAAACTGAACTGAACATGACATTGTGACCTGACCTCAGGTGGCCTGTGCTGGATTTTTATGCACGATGCAAAAGTGATGTATGTAGTATGTACAATAAGATACACCGCTGCTTTCGTGGCGCTGCGCGCCGAGATTTTTCTCAACACATGAAAAAACCGGGAGTGTGGCTAATAACACCTCTACCCATCAAGACGAAGACCGGAAACCCGACCCCACCCCACTCAAAAATCCGTGGCGACGCCCCTGCCTCCTCCCCCTCCTGCAATTTAAGTAGCCGCTGCGAACACTAATTCGTGCAAGGGGTCATTTTCACTTCTCCTTCGGACGCCGCAGTACGCTATACCGCCGGGCGGGGGGCCGAGGGACGCTACCTCCCGCCACACCGGATGACCATCGGGCCTGGGCGCCGCCGCGGCGGGCGATGGACGGCGCTATACGGCCTTGGACGGCGCTACCTCAATTCAATCTCGAGAAAATCAATCACAAGCACACTGCCAAGTAGTGTACCAAGGTGGTCCAAATTTGTATCCGCCCCTCCTATTGGTCAACGTCACGGCCGCCACAGGGATGCATTACGTCATTCCCGTCTGCCAACGACCAATCACAGTATGGTACTTGCGTCTTCATGGTCCCTTCAAATCCTGGGGCCGAACGTAACCTGGGCCCCTGTGTAACCTTGGTCCCGGTGTAACCTGGGTACAATTGTACTCTGGTACTTATGAATGTCACCCGTTCTACCGTGTTCAACGGGTCCGCTCACAGGGGCGCGCACAGGTACAGAAAGTTGGCTTGGCACCCTGGTTCATCAAAACGTCTTTTCTAATTTTGTCTTACATAGTCGACAGATATTTCAACAGATTCAACAGAGTGCAAGGGTACTTAGTATTTTGACCCCCGAATCATTTGCCTCCCAGGAATTCTGCCTGGAGTCGCTCCTGCCCCGCCGGGGGCCACTGCGCGCTGGTACCGGTGTCGGCGTCCTCCGCACGGGGGCGCTGTGTGTCGGCGGCGGCGGCGGCGCCGGCAGTGACAGCGGCGGCAGCGGCGTGGGTTGTCGTGACGGTGTTGCGGACAGTCAGCCCGGTGACAGCTCGTGTGACAGTTGGGTGACAGACGCGCAGACTACGGGAGTGTGACGGACGCACGCGCATCTGTCAACTGGGGAGTGTGAACGAAAGGTAGTGGCCAGGTGCGAGCCTTCCGCAGAGGAGAGACGGAGACGGAAAACGGAAAGAAGCAGCGGACACCGGCGAGGCCCTAGACCGATAAGCTCTGCCCAAGGTAGGTTCAATGTGCGGGCTGGAGAGAGGCTGAAATACGTACAAACCGATGTATAGGTATGGCAGAGCTGGATAAATCGGTCTTATTTACCCACGTACTCCTATAGAGCTGTCATGCTGCATAGGAAGGGAAGCTGAAGCGGCGAAGTCCCAGAACTTTTGGACGGGTGACTTAGCGGCGCAAAGCCCGTCCTTTTTCGTCGATCTGTCTTCAGTTATTCATGAGGACCCCAAAAGCTGATACACTACATAAAACCAACATCAGATTCAACCTCGAAGCTAATCTGATGATGTCGGGAACCGGTCCTCGCACCTTCATACGGCGGCCGATAAGCCGTATTAGAGGCCTGTTTAAGTGTTCCCTAAATGTTCGTACTCCGTAGCTTGCGTCGTCTGCCGGCGTAGCATGAACTGCCCCAGAGTAAGTCTGTTATTAAATGCCGGCTCACACTTGGTGAGTGATTGCTGAAGAAGTGTCTCCGGCTCAGGCTGGTTCCTGCGGTCATGAAGAACGAATCACTTTTATTAATTCGTACGGGGTGCCACGGTTATGCACTTGTGCAACGTGAAAAGTTTATCACACATCACAATCACTTCGAGTGCTTCTTATTTACCTCATTAGCGTTATACGTACTTTTATTTACTTCCCTGCCTGCTCCTCTTATTAACGTATACGATCTCTGGGACACTTCGAGATATGTGCGATTACAGCCTACAAAATATTAACAACACATTCACTCATATGAAGTACATACCTAGTATCCGGGTCAAAACGGTGTAAGCCACTGTGTGGAATTTATTTATGCTAAATACCCGAGTTATTCATGCACACAAGGAATGGCACGCGTCGTGAACATTATGGTGCAACGACCCGCTCATCCGCGAACTACTATAGTAACACATCTGACATGCCCATCTCAATTCTCAGCTGATTGATTTATAAGGAATGCATGCCTAACGAGTGGGTCACTGGAGTTGTTACTGCGGCGACGCTTAAATAACCCATTTAGATATTTATTATACTGAGCGTGCAATGAATAAATTTAAGACAAATAACGACATATTATAAAGTAAAAACGTACTTACTTAACGAATCATAGGCGCGGGAGCCGGGGGGGCAGTGGGGGCAGCTTGCCCCCCCCCCCCAACTCTGGAGCCGTGGGGGCGGTGCCCCCACAGCTTTGAGACGGAATACCACACTTTTTTTGCAAATGTTTTCTTTTTTTGTTGAAAAAGCCGAGGGATGAAAAATAAGTGGCCTAAAACCGGTGAGAAAACTAGATTTGGGGGTACCCTAGGTTGATCTCTATTATGGTGTGCCCCCCCCCCCCCCCCCCAGTCGGAAAGTAGTTCCCGCGCCCCTGTAACGAATAATTTTCATTTAAGTGCTTCGTGTTGAGGCAGTTTTCTTTTTATTCATTGGCAATCTTGTTCCCCCGCACCATGTATCTAGCGCGGGAGCGTGTTCCTCTGCTGTATCTCACTATCACCCTGTGCACAATTTATCTGCAAACTCCGGCAGTGAGCTGAAGCCCCAGCATTCCGGTCGCGTTTATTTGACCTCCCCGGCGACTGCCGCATATCTGCTGAGCACATACAGAGATCAAGGACGGTGGTAAACGGTGCAAGGATCTTCCCATAAAGACTGTCCTTCATGCAGTGTTTATACGCCCTGTCATCGCGACACGCGAGGCGACACGGTGTCTGTCACGGGTACCGAAGCGCATGCAGAACTGGTATGGCGAGGACATCATTGACGTGATGTTCTTGACGATGTTAGTTAAGAGTGGGAGCTATCGCAATTTCTACGGGGTGGAGAGGTTTTGCTGGCTGGAATCGGAGCAGCGACCTCAGTGCTGGAAAGATTGTTTGAAGGATTTGTCGCTGCTTTTTCAGACGGGAGAAATCACTTGTGTGTTATGCTTGTCATTTCCTTCTTCCTACTTGCTATTTCCTTCTGATTGGATCCTTCGTATATCATGCCAGCACCTTGTAATGCTCTCTTTTTCCTACATCTTCTCTTCCTCATCCTACATTCTGCAAACTTGCACACTTCCTTACATGCTCTACAACCCTCTCCCCTGTCCATCCCTCCGCCCTCCATCCCTCTCCCCTCCGGTGAACCATATCCCAGCCCCGCCCTTCCATGGGGCCGACACAGCGGCGCCGCTCAGCGTGCGCAGCTGCCGCCCACATGTGTGCCATCTTCCCTGTCTCTCTCGTCAGTTGGCCTCCCCTCGCACACCGCAGAGTCCCTCCCCGGGCGCCCGCAGATTCCTCCCCGGGCACCGCAGAGCGCAGAGCCCTCCCCGGGCGCCGCAGACGTCCTCCCCCGGGCGCCCGCAGAGCCCTCCCCGGACCGCCGCAGAGCCGTTCTGCCCGGGTGGCGGGTCCCGCCTCCGGCCGTGGCCTGGGAGGCGGGACCCGCCTCTTACCGTAGGCGGCGCCTCTCCAATGAGAGCGGAGATGCCGTGAAACATGCGGGTGGCGAGGGAAGTGGTTTATTCAGTGGGAGGGTGCAGGGTGAAAGCAATGTTTAAGTTCCAATATTAATGTTACCGTAGGCTCCAACTTTACTTGATAGCGAAAGTCATGAGTTGATTTTTTTTCTGGCACCATTGGATTTTAATTTTTATCAAAGGTCAGCAGAATTCCGTACAAACTGACATTTCCACTTTGTAAAATCAACCTTCACACCTCCTAGAGCTAGGAGTTTTTGCCATCAAATTCGATTCAGTCCTGACCTAAACCATCACCACCTGGGGCAGACGCGGGAGACCGACGCCACGCCGGTCTGGATCAATTAAACATGAAGCTCAGGTATCTATTAGCATGGAAAAATATTCCAACGCTCAGTTGGCACAGGTTTTCTGGAGGCATTCCAGGTCCAATTTGTACAGGTCACCCAGCTACTAACCGGAACTCTAGTACAATGTAGGTTGAAGCGGAGACCCGTTTAACGACAATTCACAATTGTAATGTTGCGTTGAATGGATTCGCTGAGCGACCGAAAATCTTTATTTCCGGAACAATTTTCCCATATTCTGTTTGCCTGTTTCGACTTTTTTCATCCGATGAGCCCATTTAAAATAATTTAAAGATAGTGTATAGGCGATTCTCCCCATTTCACTAAGGCATTTGTTTTGATCATTGCTTTATTTTAAATTGGCTTCACATTTTGTGTGCTCATACACGCTTCTCTTTACGCAGCCGCTTCAGTACGAGATATCTATAGTGCACTGCAGACGTTGATTCCAGCCCTGTCACGGTTCTGATGTATCCTGGCCGGTGGGTTTTGGTTACCAGACAATTGTGTCGAACCTGGCGCTGCCCCTGGTTCAGCCTGGTATACCTACTGACCGCTGGCCCGGGGCCTTGCAGTTTGTGGTGTCTTGTCGGTAATAAAAACGTCCAATTCGCACACTTTCCCTTTTTAGCGATGCCATGGCAGAAGTCTTGCAAATCAAAGGGAACTTTATTATCTAACCATGTTTCCTGAAGCGTTCATGCATTGGAACGGGCACGGCCCTTCGGCTTGGAAGGGCTTGCTTTTTGTTGATATTCGTAACATAATTACTTCCTCGTGATTGCGCTACCGTTTTTGTCGTTATTAAATCGTTGACCGGTTCGCGCAATTAGCTTCCGCGTGATTAAATTTCATTGAAGGCTGCGGGCAAAAATACGAAAGCCCCACGAGACGAATACCAAACCACGGAGGTATGCGACCTTCCCTAAACGGCAATTAAAAGTCAAATTAATTTTGTTCTTGTTTACTCTTCACTCATCTCCTCTGTCACCATAACTCATCTCACTCTTCCGCACAGAGACGCCCACCTTCCGCATGGTTCCCGCACGGCGTCCTTGGGAGCGGCGTCCGCGCAGTGACCCCGGCGTACCGAGTAGCTGACCTCTGTGTAGCCAGAGCGGCGTCCCGTCCCCTCGGCGTCTGGCGGGATCACGGGGCCATTAACGGCCATCTCATGGTCGGTGGTGGAGGCGAGAGGAGCAACGCCCTGCGTTCGTTCCGCCCGCCCGCCCGCCTGTCCGCTCCGCCCGCTCTCCGCCCGCCCGGCATTGCCCGATCCCGACCCTCGGAGAAAATGATACCAGGTATTCTCGGCTCCCCTGGTCCGACCTGGTTTGGCTCGCCGGGGAGTGGCTGTACCGGTCCAATGACTTCAACATGGAGTGCGAACTGAGAACTACGCTTCTTCGTAGTCAGAACAGGCGGACAAACAAATGTCCACATCGTTCGAGGAACGCTAATTAGATTCAAGTTCCAGTACAAGCTCTCATATCTTCATTCGGGACATCCCGTTTGCATATCTGAGAAGCACTTGCTGTCGCGATAGCTCTGAGATTACGACGTTAAATGTTCTGTTTCTAGTTACTGCACTGTGGAGCACGACACTCTATAAACGGGCCATTCGATGGACGTCTTAGACATGTCAAAAGGTCCACCACCGCCGGGATAACCTGTAAGAACTCACGATCGGGGCCTCACGGGTATCCCCGCGGGCGCCTCACGGTCCGGTCGCTGATCGGAGATTTGACATGAGCATCCTGGATGGTGGCACGTGCAGGTGGACCTCCTCTGTCGGGAATGCGGAGCCAGAGCTCTCTGAAGTCTGGTCACGTTCCATGGGCCGGTGGCACTGGTCGGGACGGTGACTGTCTGTGTGCTCATCTGTCTCGATGATGTCTTTGAGACTGTCTCTGCCGTTTATTTCATGTGTCTGGTGTCTCTCTGTGCCTTTCTGCGCCTTTCCATTCTGTTTTCGGGCATATCCACACCGTCTCTCGTGCAGCTCTATTTTGTCGGTATGATTCATCTTCCGCTCCTCTTTGCCAATATGCATGCCTTATCTCCTTTTTTCTGTATTTGTTTTCGCGTCTCCCTGTCGTCTCTCTGCGTCTACTCTCCCATACCCCAACGCTGGCTGGTCGTTCGTCCGTGCCCTGTCACGTCGGACCGCGTTCCGAACATGTCTGTCTCCGACA